CAGGCCGCCAGAACAGGTAAGTATTTCTCTATTGTTTGTTGTTTGTGAGGGCCGGTAAAAGGGAGTGAAGTGGGGGAGTGTGGTGATGTGGTTAGCGAGTGTCGGAACGGAGCAGTGGTTGAGCTGTGGAGTAGTATGGTTCAGGCAGTGGGTAGAGTCTGCATTGACGTGAGGTGTACGTGTTGTGTGGGATCAGCTATACGAAATTGTGACGTTGGTGAATGAGCTGCTCCCGCCGCTGCCGGATGGTCAGGCAGTCCCTTTGGCTGCGGGGGCAGCGCCGTCGTCGTCGTCGAGCGTGGGCGGAGGATCTCGAGGTGGACGAAAGCATTCGGGCATGACAATTGCAAGCAGGGCGGAGGAAGGTGGGGGTGGGGTAGGCGTGGAAACATCGGCTCGTGAGATACTTCTGCGAAATCAGCCGGAGCTGCTGGAACAATTCGGCAATGACTTGTTCCCGGTGCTTGTTCAGGTGAGGGAAAGTGGGGCAGGATGGTGGAGGCGGTGATGCGGCGGATACGTGTAGCGACGTGGATGGAGTGGTGTTGGGAGTTTGGGAGCATGTAAACTGAGATGGTTGGTGGGTGCGGTTGACAGGTGTATGGGTCGAGCGTGAATCCTCCGGTTCGGCACAAGTGTTTGGCGGCGATCATCAAACTGGTCCATTTTACCGCGCCGGAAATGTTGCGGTCGTTGTTGCAGGAGTCGAACATATCGAGGTATGCAGACGCAAATTGGAATTTGGGGACGTTATATGGAAGTCGATGGTGGTGAGAAGTGCATTGAGTGGAGCGGGAGGTAACGGTGGTCAGGTTGTGGGATTGGTTGCAGTTTCTTGGCGGGCGTGTTGGCATCGAAGGACATGTCGCTGCTGACGAAGGCGTTGCAAATAGCGGAAATGCTGATGCAGAAGCTGCCGGATGTATTTGCGAAGATGTTTGTAAAAGAGGGAGTGGTGCATGCACTAGACACTCTGATCACGTCGGAGCAGGTGGGAGCCTTGTCCCCCCCAGGTGGGTCTCGGTCGGCGGATTTGGCAGCGAATGCAGTGGTGACTGCCAGCGGGGGGATCCTGCCTCCACCTCGACCTCGAAGGGGAGGGGCGAGCAGGAGGAAGTCGATGGGGAGCACGGACGAGGAGGCTGGGTTGTCGACGAGCGCTCCATTGTCTACAACGATGGCGTCGCCACCTTCCGGAGGTGAGCCGTTGCGGACCATCCGGTCTGGGCTTCGGGCAAGCGCGATCGCGCGTGCGAAGAAAATACGCAACACTTACTTCCCGGGAGACGCGGGGGCGGCGGATGAGGGTGTGACAGAGAGTCTGCGGAAGCTGAAGAAGTTATGCGCGCAGCTTAACGGAGAGGCAAGTGGTGGGGAGGGGAAGGGAAAGGGTCTAGGTGGTGGGAGAGGTGCGGGATTGAGCGAGGAGCAGCTGGGTGCGGTGGTGGGCGTACTACTTGGGGAGCTGGGGGCTGGGGACGGCGTGTCGACGTTTGAATTCGTGGGGAGCGGAGTGGTTGGGGGCTTGATAAACTACTTTACGTGCGGTAACACTGCGAAGGAGAACGTGGAGGACCCAGGGTTGCGGGAGCAGGCGCTGAAGAGGATGAAACAATTCATCGAGGTGGCTCTGCCTCGGGAGACAGGCGTGAGCGGCAGCGATGCCCCTCTGACGCTGTTGGTGCGGAAGCTGCAGAATGCACTGGCTTCGTTGGAGCGGTTCCCGGTGGTGTTGAGCCACGCACCTCGGTCGAACAGCTGGACGGTGAGCATTGCGGCAGGCCTGAGTGCGCTGACGCAGCCTTTCAAGCTGCGGCTGTGCAGGGCGACTGGGGACAAGACGTTGCGGGATTATTCGAACAACATCGTGCTGATCGAGCCGCTGGCAACGCTGATCGCAGTGGAGGATTTTCTTTGGCCACGGGTTAAGCGTCATGAGCGGGCAGGGACAGCAGCGACGGGCGCAGCAAGCACGAGCGAGGCGAGTGCTCCCATACCAGTCCCAAATGCCGAGAGGCGGCCGTCGACTCGTTCTCGTAGTGCGGCGGCGGCTGCGGGGATGGGTAGCGGGAGGAGTTCGGAGAGCTGGGGTGGTGCGAGTGGGGCGAAAGGGAAGGGCAAAGCCGTGAGTCGGTCGCTGGGGGCAAGCCCAGGCGGCGACGAGTCGCGGGGACCTGAGACTCGAAATGCAGCCGCTCGACGGCGTGCAGCAGCTGCGAGCGCGTCAACCGAGAAGGCTGCATCGGAAGGCGAGAGCGAGGTATGGGTGGGTTGGCAGGGGACAGTGTGGATTGTAGGTTGTATGAGTGGGTGTGGGTGATGGTTTCACGATGCGGTGTTACTCTGGGCATGGTGATGGTGAGGGTTGCAGGGTGGTGGGTGGCTATGGTGGCAATGGGGGATGAATGTGATACATGATACGCTTTTGGGATGGACGTATGCGTGGGAGCCTGAGCAGAATGGTTACTGGATGGTCTGTATTGTGCAATTTTACCGGTAATGGTGGTAATGGGTTGCGGTGTGGAGGGGTAGTGTCTGTTGAGGAATAGCATTGACGGGATTGAAACTAGATAGAAGCGGGTGAGATATGTATGCATATATTCAGGAGGGGTCGTGTTGGTGATGGACGTCGGAGATTTCATGCATCGGAGAGGTGCGTGATGGTTGTTGAGAGGTGGGTTGTGGATGTCGGGTGGAGCAGGAGGACGTGGAGGTTTCTCCAGTGGAGTTGGAGGAAGCCGTGGCGATGGACGAAGACGATCTCTCTGAAGAGGAAGACGAGGACGAAGACGATGATCACGACGACGTGAGCAACTGTTGTTTGTTGTGCGATCATATCGTTGGTGTGCATTTGGGACTGGGAGTGGATTAATATTGGAACTATTGTATTTTTGGGGATGAGGAGGTCGTTGAAACTGTGTGATCGGATGTGTCAGGTTTTTGGGGACGATCCAGTGGCGCCCTGTAAAAGAGACCAAGTTCATGACGTGCAACTTGGCGACGCGGAGGGCGGGGCCGTGGCATCTTCGAGCGAGGCGTCGCAACCTTCGGGAGGTGCGAGCGTGGTTAGCAGGACTGGCGCGTTGACGTCGGGTGCCGAATCGAGCGGGACGAGGACGGGGGGATCTCGTGGTGCGTTGTCGTACGCGGCGGCAGCCCTGGCGAGCGCCGGCGTGAACGGCAGTCGGGGTGGCGGTCGTGAGCGCAAGTCGGTGGGAGCGGCGGCTGCTGCAGCAGCGAATTCGCCTCCGAAGCTGGTGTTTTGTCTCGGGGGAAAGCAGCTGAACCGTATGCTGACAATATTCCAGGCGATTCAGCGTCAAGCAGTGGCCGAAGAGGATGAAGAGGAGCGGTATGGGGGATCTGAGCATGGCGGTGGCAGCGGACGCAGGCTGTGGGACGAGGTGTACACGATCACGTACCAGAGGGCGGACGCGAATGGGGAGGCGACGGCGTCCGCGGTTGGAAAGTCGGCAAGCGCAAGTCCTCGGGGTAAGGGTTGCGGGTCGGCAATGGAGGGGTCGTGGCAGCAGGCGTCACTTCTGGACAGCACGCTGCAAGGAGAACTGCCTTGCGACCTGGACAGGTCGAACAATTCGTACAGTATTTTGTTGCTGCTGCGGGTGTTGGAGGGGCTGAACAAGCTGGCACCACGTCTGCGTGCTCAAGGTGCGTTGGAGGCGTTCGCCGCGGGGGAGGTGGATAGGGTGGACGAGTCTCCAGGTGCGGGGCCGCTGGTTCCGCGGGAGGACTTTTTAAGCAGCAAGTTGACTCCAAAGTTGGCGCGTCAGATGCAAGACGCGCTAGCGTTGTGTAGCGGCGGGTTGCCGTCTTGGTGCGGGCAGCTGACTCGTGCGTGTCCGTTTCTGTTTCCGTTTGAGACGCGTAGGCAGTATTTTCATTCAACAGCATTCGGGCTGTCGCGGGCGCTACAGAGGCTGCAACAGCAGCAGAGCGCGGACGGGGCAGCGGCTTCGAACGACCGGGAGCTGCGGGTGGGGAGGCTTCAGCGTCAAAAGGTGCGGGTGTCCCGACAGCGGATTCTGGAGTCAGCGGCGAAGGTGATGGAGCTGTACTCGGGGCACAAGGCGGTGTTGGAAGTGGAGTATTTTGGGGAGGTGGGGACGGGACTGGGGCCTACGCTGGAGTTCTACACGCTGCTGAGCCATGAACTGCAGAAAGAAAAGCTAGATATGTGGCGGTCGGAGACGATGATGAAGTCAGAGGCAATGGCGGGGGTTGAGTCGGCGGAGGTGGAGGCAGTGGACGCGGACGTGGAGATGGTGGAGGAGGAGGTTGCGGAGGTGGAGGCGCTGTCGATGGGAGAGGGCGATCGGGGGAGCGCTGAGGGGGGAGCAATCTCGGGAGAGTACGTGACCGCTCCGCAGGGGCTGTTCCCCCGACCTTGGCATCCGGACACGGACCCAGGGAGCAACAAAAAGTACTGGAAGGTACTCGAGCATTTCCGGCTGCTGGGGCGGGTGATGGCAAAGGCGCTTCAAGATGGGCGGTTACTGGACGTGCCGATGTCAACAGCGTTCTACAAAATCATTTTGGGGCAGGCAAGTGAAGGAGCGAATGAAAGACGGTATTGGTTCTGGAGTGCAGTTCGCATGAGTTTGTTTGGGCCGTGTGGAGTGGTGCAGAGTGGTGTAGCGGATACGTGGTTGTGGTCTAGCCGCGGCAGCAGCGTTTTGCAGGTGTGTGTGACGTGGGTTGATGTTGGAGGATGGGTGCAGGAGTTGGACTTGTACGACATACAGACGTTGGATCCGGAGCTTGGACGGACGCTGTTCGAGATGCAAGGTTTGATTAGGCGGAAGCAGCTTCTTGAGACTCATGGTGGGAAGCGGGAGGAGGTAGAGGCATTGACTTTCAGGGGATCAAGGTTGGAAGACCTTTGCCTCGATTTTACCCTTCCAGGGTACCCGGAATACGAGCTGCGGAGCAACGGGCGGGAGGTTGCGGTACGTAGCGAGGTTTGAAGAGATTGTTGAGTTGTGTTTGAGGGGAAATTTGCAATGAACTCGGTGAGGAGGGGTATGGACTGATTTAGGCGGGTTGCATGTACTCTCAGGTGGATCTCGACAACCTGGAAGAGTACGTATCGCTGGTGGTGGAGGCGACGGTGAAGGTGGGAGTTGGACCTCAGATTGAGGCGTTTCGGTCCGGGTTCAACCAGGTACAGTGGTGATAGTTAATGGGAGATGCAGAAGAGTGAGCGGCCGTTCGGGACCGATGGTTGGTGTTTGTGTCAGTGAGGTGTTCTGATGGGTTTGTAGTCGTGATTTGGATAGATGTGTATAGGTGGTGGTGAGTGGCATGTGGTTGTTGCAGCAGGAAGTGTGTGTCGGACGGGGTGTAATGTGTTTTAGGTGATAGTGAAAGGAGTTTCAAGGGTAGATGGTGACTCTGAGTTGGATGCGAGTGTGCAGGTGTTCCAGTTGTCCTCTCTGCAAATTTTCAGCGAGGACGAGCTGGATTATCTGCTGTGCGGGCGACGAGAGCTGTGGGCGGTAAGCTTGTGGTCGCTTTTACGCTTTAGTGGATTGATTGTTTTGGTGATGGGTTTGGAGAGAGTGCATGGTTGATGTTTTGGGTGAGGTGCTGATCAGGAATTTGTGGTGGTCTGTGGGATGCAGCCGGAATCTCTTCCTGATATTATGAAGTTCGACCATGGATATACTGCGTCGAGTCCTCCTATCCGAAACGTAAGTAGATGGCCTTGCCCGAGGTTGTTTCAAAATGGGGAGATGGGTTGGGGTGTACGCGTGTGATGAAAGGGTAAGCAGGGGTTGGGTTCCGGGATTTATTGACAGGGAAGTGTTGGTGTGATGCAGCTGTTGGACATAATGTGCGAATTGAGTCCGGAGGAGCAGCGAGCATTTTTGCGATTTGTGACGGGAGCGCCGCGACTTCCTCCTGGGGGACTCGCAGCGTTGAATCCGAAGCTGACGATCGTTCGAAAGGTGCGTTGGGAATTGCGGTTTGTGTATGGAGGAGGTCATGCCAAGTGTGAGGAAGGGTGGGTTGGGAGTTGTTTGGAGGTGTGGAAGGAGCAGGGACTGGAGCAGATGTGGGGATTGCATTGGGTGGTCGAAGGTGTAGACATGAATGGTGTTCTGTTAAAGCGGGAGTCTGATTACGAGGGGTGGGTGGTGGTATGGTTGGCAGCACCCGACTGGCGGTAGCGGAGTGGCACTTGGTAGCACACCACCTGGAGCTGCAGCAGGAATGGGGACGACGTTGGCGGACAGGGATCTGCCGAGTGTGATGACGTGTGCGAACTATCTGAAGCTTCCTCCGTACTCATGCAAGGTGAGGATGTTTGTGGACGCGGGACTTGGTGCGTGGTTGCGTACTTTGGGTGTGCATGTGTAGCGTAGTGAGTACCGAGTGGAGATGCAGAGATTTGGTTGCGGCGGGCTTCTTGGGATGGTTAGTAGAGTTGGTACTGACAGGGTGGTGAGTGTATGTGCAGGAGATCATGAGGGAGAGGTTGTTGTACGCGATACATGAAGGACAAGGGTCGTTCGACCTGTCTTAGATACATCTACATATATACATATATATATTTTTTGTGGGTGTGTAGCGTCTCAGATTTGAGGCGATCTGCTTCGTGGAAGAAGTTGAATGGGGTACTTCGAGCTCAGGAGGTGACGTTATAGCAATGGAACGGCACTTGGAAGCAGGGATGGTGCGTTTCCAATTTAATGTACATAGTGGACATGGATGGTGGCGTAGTTTGTGGACGGGTTGTCCTAGCGAGCTTCGAGACGGTGCTGATGATTTTATTGGCATTGTGCGAACGGCATGCAGTAGACACGATGGAAACTACCATACCTGGTAGTTGTATGGCTTTTCAAACAGAAGGGAGATGTGGAGGCATCTTGGTTTACCGAGCAGTCTGTATGGTGTCTGCCTGTTACTGATTATGCGACAACTGTACTGGGTGTGATGTGACAGCATGCTGCTCAGTTGCAAATCTACAGTTTAGTTCTCTGAAATGGATATAGCCATTTTACATAGTTTTATTTTAAACAGGTGTTTTGGATAGTGTATGCAGGCGAAGTTGTCAGCAGCAGTAGTGATTTTATTGATCTTTTCCTGCTGTTTGTTTCAGACTTTGCTACTGGGTTGTAGGCTTTTGTCGTTGTTGTGTAATATTTAGTTTTGAATATCATTTGTTGGGTTTGGGGGTATCAATCTAGTTTGTTTCGGTTCGCTCTCAGTGGAAGCGTTGGTTTTTCTCGTCTGGTTTGTCTTGCACATGCGATTTAGCCGTTGCCTTGCTTTTAGACCGGTATTCTCTGAACTCTAGTGGTTTCGTTAAGGTAAGTTACTTTCCATGGGAATTTACCGCTTCAAGTACCTCGTTATACCAACTCGGCAAGCAATTTTAAGGAGTATCACTTACTACATCCTCTATTGTATCTCTCCATGCTTAACCGTTGCTTCCGCTTGCCTCCTCCACTCACTATTTGTGCTTCCTCGGTAGCATCCCTCTTCATTACGTGAAGCGAATATAGCTTGTCATGTGATGAAGATTTCGCAGCTGTCAACGTTTCAGAATTTGTGACCTTAACGGCTGAGCCGTCCGAAGCTGAAAAACCTAAAGTTGTTGAGACGTCTTATTACGGATGTGGTGTAAGGACTGAAGGCAGAAAATGTTGCTGTGTCGACTTCTATGTGAAACTCCAAATCTTGTGCCGCCCAATGCATGCACTATCGCGTAGATTCTATTGAAATATGTGTGCTTGTGACCTGCAAAACTATTATAACCTCTTGATTTGTGAGGATCTTCTTCCGGGCGAAACTCACATATCCCACTTTTGGATGTGCGTTTGTATGAACGTCTCTAGGGGCGAGGGCTCAGGACTCTGCCCAAACTCACTACCTAGAGACTGGGTAAACTGCATACCTAGTCCACTCATATCATGTTCATAGGCTCGATAATTTAACAATCTGTACTCTTTGGTGCCTAAAAACAGCATTGATTCGGTTTACAGTAAGCAGGGTGCACAAACTAAAAGTTTCGTCCATGCAAGAGCTTGTTTTCACTAGATTCCTCTTCACATCGTCTCCTTGTCACTAGTAGTCTATTGGGCATGGCCTTCGACCATAGTAAACATCTCCTTTTCACATAGTCTCCTTGTCACAAATGCTTATGCAATGCGCATTGCATCTTCAATAGCATTGTTGAAGTAAATCTCATGGACATAGTAATTATATTTTGGCTTTCAAATTCATCGTGGAATCTCAAAGAATTGGCGCAATAAAACTATCTATTGAAATAAAGGAATTGTAGTCCATTTACTTACACTATCTAGTTTTAAATGCACCATGGTATTATCTTCTGTTATGTGATACAACTGTATATGACAACCTATTGCCTCATCCTCCCTTATACTTTATACTATATTCCAAAACCATAAATTTACCCTTTGTCTTTGTGGAAAGAAACTTGTACCATCTAATTTTGCATTCAAATATAGCAAGAAAAAAGGTTGTAATAAAAATGAATAAAAAAGATGGTCTAAAATGAAATTGGCAGTTAAATAGAAGCCCCAAAATGCACAACCAACTAACATCACTATTGTGTACTTGTATCTTGGTTGGATTCCAAAAACAAATCCTCAAAAAGAAAAGTCTACATTCTATTGGAATATGAATGTAATTGGAGAGAGAGTATTACATGCTTTAGATACCATATATACCATGTCAATTACAATTTCAACAATTTGTAAGTTACTGAAAAAATTAAATATGTTAAAATATAAAACATCAAATATTACTCACATCTTAAGCAAATTCATCCCATTTGCTTGTTTTTTTTAAATCTTTTTTGAAAAACAATAAAACATTGCATATAAATTTTATTTTTTAAAATAAAAATATATAATAATAAATAAATAAAATTCAGTGTTAAGTGTTTTTATTATGTATAAAATTCTCTAAAAATATCCAAAAATAAAATCCTTTTAGTTGTTTATCAATCTTGGCTTCTCTTTGCTTAAAGGTATATCACATTTGATAGATAAGTACTTCAAAACTTTATTTTAAGAAAACTTGGCATAATTATTTGCTGATGGACAACAAGAACATAAATTTTTCTAAATAGCAATTGATGTAAATTATGAATTAAATAAAAATAAGTACATCCACAAGCAAAGATTTTTTTTTATTTTTTTTATTTTTTTGTTTTTGTTTTATCAAACTAATTCTATTGCACACATTTCACTTAAGTTGCAAATTTATAAGATGAGAGAGCTGAGATAAGATCTTGCCAACTATTTAAATACCAACAAGTCTATTGCTAAATTATGCTTGTTAAGTAGCTAAAAAATCACACTATGAACTAGTGTAATAATAAATATATTGTAAAGTATTAATCATCCTTGTTTATAATTTCAATTTGAGATGTGTACTATCTTGCTCTCTTTTAAATCCATGTAAAGGAACTTCTATTGACCAGCTATAACTTTCTAGTAATTCCAAAATTAATGACCTAAACGTGATGTTGATAATTGTTTTTGGAAAATTGTAGATGCTACTCAGACAGACAAATGAAAAATAAATAAAAAATAAATAAAAAATAAAAAGAAAGAGGAAACAATTGCATTATCAATGTCTCATTTGGCAATCATTGAAGGTTTTGGCTAGTTTGTTAAGCTTTTTTGTTTTTGTCTGGTACTATACATCATCTCCCAAAGATTCTACTGAAAGTTTTTATATCCTCAAAAAAAGCTGTGACTAAATATGCATTCCAAAATCTGAAGGTAGTGGTCATATGGTTGTAGTTAGAATAACTATTTTAATTGCAGGCATTACAATTTAATAATTATATGTGGTGCATATAAAAATTAAAATTAAAAAAATTAAAAATTAAAAAAAAACATCCAACCTTGTTTCAAATCTTCAAATTCATCATTAAAAGAGGAATAGCTGGTGTTAGCTTTTAAAATTAGGGCTACTTAATTCTATACAAGTTCACATGCAATGCTTTAAATTTTGATTGACAAACAACTAAATAGCACTCTATACATTCAACCTTCTTGTGATACTGGACAAACCAAGTACGAAGAAAAAACAGAAAAATAAAAATATATAAAAAAATAAATAAACAAAAGAATCTTAAAATGATGCATTTTAATCAATTGAATAAATATTTAATGAAAAGCAAATGAAGAAAGAACGAGTGTCCAGTGGACTAGCATGTCGATGATCTGTTACCGACATTGCGTAGGCTTCGAACTGGTTTGCTAATCCTGCATCCAGCCAGAAAATGTCATGCCAATTGCACAAAAGAGAAGCACCGAAATACGAGGATTGTGTGCAGAAGGGCAAACGTTCTAGTGCCGAACAAATCCACAATCTCGACAATTGCTTGATTGCTCAGTCATTTTGTGGGGCACTGAAAAAGGAAGAGATCTGTGGGTGAAACTAGTGCCGGAGCACTGATGTAGTGGTAACACAATGGTCACCAACCACTGCACACACCAACCTGAGCAGAGACCAGACAAACCAAGTCTGCAATTATGCTCAGGAACGATGAAAAACGTAGCTATCGAAATGGTGTAGGATTCATGAACCACGATGGACGACGTGCAGATGGTCTCGTTTTGCTCATGCAGCTGATCATTTGAGGTTGACATAGGAGTTTTGTGGATGATTTCTCCATGCATTGCAGGACTCCCGATCATGGCTAGTAAACTTCACATCTACAGTCGTTCCCATGTTGCGCTTCTGCTCTTTTCTATCTGCTGAGAGTAGGTGTTGCGGTTTGAAGAGCCTCTGAGTAGATCGTTGGAAGCTTGGAGAGGCCTCGAAGGGTGATGTCCCGAGCAAGTGTTGCCGGACAAGACATCTGGGCAGCATTGATCCTGCAGTCCTGAAGGAAGGTGATAGCTAAAGGCAGCAGGAGCGGATTTATCTCGCAAATTTAGATGTCCACATTCCTCCTCCATAGCTAGTTGTTTTAAGCTGGAGGTGCCCATCAATGAGTTGCATTGCTGAAGCTTCAACGAGGTGCTTCGTAAGCATCTTTTCCCTGGAGTGGCGTCGCCAGAATCGTTTAGGGTCGATTCTTTGCCGCGGCTGCGTGTAAACGAGGATCTAGAACTTGCTCCAGGTGAAGCATCCCATGAGTGCCGCCCTGAACCGCTGAGTCCTGGGAAAGTGAATGCATCTGTGTTTGATGTATCAAAGGAGAAAGAATCCACGCTTTTGTCGTGTGTCGAAGGGTGCCTTTTCTCTACTGGAATGTCGGTTCCAAAGGTAAAGCTAATGTCGATACATTGTTCTAAGCCAATGTCTTCGCAGTGGTTCCCGTGGATGAACTTCAGCAGTGGAGACTCGCCTGAGCGATTCTCACCTTCAAACCGATCCGAGGAGTAGGAGCGGCTGCTCAGGATGCCAGTATTCGGGAGTGGGACTGGTCGATTGACATGAACCCAAGAAGGCGCCTTCACAGGGTTAGACGGACTTGAGGGACCATCAGAATAAATGCTCCGTAAGGCAATTTCTTGATCGTTAGGGCGCCTGTCGTGCGATTTCTCGCGTGTTTTGAGTTTGTCGACTAGAAAGACACCGCACACAGGGCAGGTAATCTGTCTGGCAAGCACCGGATCAATGCAGTGCCTGTGAAAGACGTGCTCACAATGCGGCAGCTGTCGCAGTACATCTTCATCCTCGAATTTCAGCCAGCATCTGAAGCACCTGCAATTCAAGTTTCAGATTCTCAAGTTAAATTTACTGAGTGAAGGTAAATACATCAACTGCGGTCTGTCGATCCAATTCAAGAATCTCCACCACTAACGTTTTTTTTCAACTGCACAGTACTGAGCTTTCCAAAACAAAAACAAAAAAGAAAACGGCTAGGGTATCGACACTTACTGTGATTTCAAACTGTTGCTAAAATTCAGGTCACGGCCCTTCACAATTGGAAATGAAAGCACCACGTCCTTCCTCAACCCAGTCGAATTCTCAGCCTGCAATACAACCCAACACGCAATCAGCAACGAAATCAATTGTCACGTAAACATCAAGATGACGGCACATTACTGCGCTATTGAAAGCAGCATCACGCTGCATATGCCTCAAACAATTACTATTCATTTTGTAATTATATAACAGCATATTGAGCGCTTTGCGACAAGCAATAAGCGTGATCTAAATACCCGCAAAAAATTTCGAACACAACCGAAAAATAGTTGAAGAGATTGTACTCACAGGAATTTCCTCGGCTGTCCCAGAGATTTGGCCTGTGATACGTGTGCGGTACCAAAGCTTCTTAACTCCCCAATAGAAGAAGCAACATAGTGCTAGAAGTAGAACTGATCCTACCCCAATTGCGATAGCTATGTTGATCAACATAGTAGCCGTTAGATATTCTACAACTCTATTTAGTCCTGTTGAATGAAAAAATCTCTACAATGAGATGACATGTACACGCAAAGAAGCATGCGCTTCGTTTACTTTAACATTCTAAATGCTAAATTAACTGCATTATACGAAGAATCAATTCCCACTTGCTGAACTTCAGGGTCGAATTGCGCCAACCAGTGATCATCGTGTAGTAGAAAACATTGTCTCTCTGTTACATGCTTTCGGTATTCAACGAGTCACTACTTCGAGCATTGAGTACTTGTTGTTACCTTCGTGATGTCTGTTTCTGACATTTCATGCGACCCTCCACCTCGCAAGAACTTGTATTTCAAGAACCGAAACACCATATTACATTCTTAACCACCTCCTCTATGGCTCTGACCGAAGAAAAGGGTAGGGGTAGGGGAAATCAGTTCCAGCTTTCAATGAAGATGAACCACGCCCAATTCCAGGACTCGGCTGCGTATTTGATTACAGACTAGTTCCGACAGACCGTTCTTTCCGACCAAACTACCTTCTAGATTAACTCAAAACATTCTCTAAAATTCCTCAGAACCTTGGAGTAGTTTCTAAAAAAAATGTCACCAAAGCATCGAGCAGGCGGCGTTCATCTTCCAAAATTACAACAATCCCACTTGTCGATCTTGTCACAAGAAAACCCCCTGTACCGAAATCTCTCCAACAGTTCTCGTACCAGCCTCTTCCAACGGAATCTCTGGTACGAGAAGCCATCTTAAACAGACATCCCTAAGCCACCAATCAACACAGAAACCTCAAAACATCAGTCTCTGTACAGACGGCTCGCTTCCAAGACTAGCTCCACCAGCCATCCTCCACAACTCCTCCGCTCCACTTCAGAGATCTAAGCCACGTCCATTACGCGTTAATGTACCGTAACTACGCCATAACCCAGAATATCTATCCCAAAATACTCCACCCCAACTACCTCTCCTCGATCGACAATCACGGGCACAAATCGAATCCTCCCGCCCAGTTTTGGAGACGCGACGCTCCATGACAAGAGGTACGCGTGAGCTGTGGGGATCGAGCCGCAATTGGAGGCGCAAAAAAACGTTTATGAAGTCGACATTAATAAGATACCCGCACAATAGTTGTGCAAGTTTACGGTGAGATTGCAGGGCGAGGCGATCCGCTACCGACGGGGCGTGATTCCCGGCGCGTGAAAAGAGGAGCCAGGAAGAACAAGTCAACCGCCGTTACAGGCTGGAATCAGCATCGACGACAATGGTAATGGACACGGGACCACAGCCATGCAGGATGGCAGGGACGCCACGGAGACCTCTTCCAAGCAGCTTCCGAAAATCCGGGTTGACATTTGTGCACAACCTCAATTCAACCTAAAAAACGCCTCATATTGTAAAACAGCAAAACCCAGGGCTTTTTCTGAAAAGAAAACACAGCACATCCCGCCATAGTTTTCACTTAGATTCAATTCTCCCGCACCCAACTCCGATTTTCTTACTTAAAAAACAGTTTCGTCGATTGATACTTTCCGTCAAATCTAATACCCAGTAACTGTAATGTTGTGGCCTTCTGTAACTTTGTTCTCACTTGACATACGCAGCAGTTTTCAACCTTCAGATTCCTCGACGTGATTCCATGTGGCTGGAGGGCGACATTTGAGTCAGGATAATCGATTCAGTAGAAACCAATGGGAGCCTGCCATCTTGCCAAGTCAAGAAAGGTCATGAAGACGTGAAACAAGCGGGATTGTCCGCACCGACAAAGTCCGCTGGACCGGCCGTGCTTGGAGCGACATCGCACTCTCCACGCCCTCTCAGTATTCACCGACAAAGCTACTTCGTCGAAGCCTTCGTGCCATAATTGCCTGTCTCCTTGCGATTCATGGCCAAAAACGCATTGTCTGCATGCCACCACAGCTTGAAACCTACCAGTGATGGTGGCAAATGCAGGTTTCCGTGTCCGCAGATGAATGGTGTTTGATTCGTGGTCGCAAGCATTTCAGTGCAACTACTGTTTCATGATTCTACAACAGCCAATTCTCGGGATCCACTGTTTCCTATCACCAAATTCCTGCAAATTTGTCAAGCTCACAATGGTTTTCAGTTCGATGCAAAAGCTAAATCCCCGCAACTCCGATCTCGATGAGCGATTAGGACTTAGGATTTCAATCCTAAACCCTCAGCTTAAATCTCTACCGTCTCGAGGACAGTTGGTTGTGAGATTTCCAAGCTTGGGTTTCGGAAATGGATTGAGTGCATCAAATACTTTCTGATCTAATGCTCCCACACCATAAATGTGACACGTATAAAAAAACATGGAGAATATTGGTTCTTGGCTAAGATTTTGTTGATGTTGTGCATTGGTTGGGAGGACATAGCCAATGATGAGTATGAAGAAGAATAAGAGCTTGCCAAAGAATTCAACAATAATTTTAATGATGAGGTATTTCATTGCATTTTATTGCTTCTTTTAATTTTGATATTTATTGCAATTGCAGGTTTGGTTTTGTTCCAAGGTGTAACATGACAATTTATTTTGTTGATGCATCAATGTACTTTAATTTTGAGAGCAATTGTGTATAATTATTAGATGTGAGGCTGTAAACAACACAAGTATGTGTTTTGTATATGTGTTTTGTGTATGGCTTTGGAATTATACTTCCATTGCTTCAAAATGTATTAGTTGGATTCAATTCTTTTAGAAGATTCATAAATATTGGTTTATTCCTACAAGAAGACAAATTTGATAATGAAGAAAGAGGAGAGATTCTCTTACATCAACAATTGGCCAAAGTTCCAAGAAAGAAAATGGTGAAATTCAAGAAGACAATAAGCTTTTGCAAAAGTTTATCTAAACTTCTATAAGTGTAAGACAAGTCAAAAAAGACACACAACATGCAATACAATAGGTAGTCTTGATGGTATACTACTTTGCACTATTTGAAAGTGTATCTAATAATCAATATAAAAAAGTGCATGCTTTTACATTTTCTTTGAAATAACAACTTTGCAATTTTTATTTTATGAAGTTGGTTACATGTAGTCATTAATTTCTAACAAACCAATCAAGTTTTTTGAAAGAGTTTTTTTTATATTCTTAAAGTAAAATCTTAAGTCAACTACCAATATGTATTATAAATCATTCTTCATTGAACCAAGGCAAGAACAAGCTTCCAACATCAAAAGATGGAATTAAGATATGAGACACAAATTTTGTGAAGATAAACCAAGCAACATTGTTTGATCTAATCTTGGTAAGAAATAGGATGTTGGTTTACATATGAAATGTTGATGCATAAAAGCATTGGGTTGTACAAAGTGTGGAGGGGAGAGAGAAGAAAAAGGGAAGGAGAGCAAGAAGTGAGGTGGAAGGTGACGATGAAGAGAATTTGTACTAATGGGAAAGAATGGAGTAATGAAAAAGCAACAAACTATTTGAACATCAAAAATTTGTTGTACTTGACATATCAAACTATGGTAGACATAATAAAATTAAAGACACCAAAAGAGGAAATCTTGAAGACGTTCAATATGAAGAATGACTTTATTTTGGAAGAAGAGGAAGGGCAGAAGGAGAACCAATGGATATTTGAGTGGGATATTATCGAATTCTTTTTCATTACAAGAATGTTTGTGGCTTCAACCTTTGTCAAATAATAAGTATAATTTATTTATTTATTTTATCTTCATTCATGTGTGAATATTACTAAAAATACATGTAAATAAGATTGACATAATGATGTTTTTTTTTTATATATAATGTTGTAGATGTGATTAAAAGAATGTTCCAAAAAGAGGTTGAAAATGACTTTGAATCCTCAAAAAATAGTGACCTATGTTTTGCATATTGGTATGATCAAGTCTATTTTCATTATGTTGATGAAGTTCTAAGTGGTAGTAGTTGTGTGTTGATTTGGTTGATATAAAAATTAAATATATTGACTAAGTATCATTAAAACATTTGAAATTGTTAGAACAATTACGTAGTTTGGTGTTTTTGAAAATTAAATTTTTATAGCTTTTTTGTGGCTAACAATATGGATTATATATATATATATATATATATATATATATATATATAATATCTAATATATGAATTTTTAAAGTAAATTGGATTAATTAGAATCATTAAAAGTATTTTTTTCAACATTAAGATTTAACTTATGATTTAAAAGTAATCAAGGAACATAATATAAATAATAATATAAGTAAATTTTGTCAATAAAAATCTTAAAAAAAATAATTTAAAAAACTATATCATGAATTTATAATTAATAATATAATTTCTTTTAACAAATATAAATAAGACAAATGTAAAAGAAACTTAAAATTGAAATTTGAATTTTTGGAAAATTAATTTTTAATTTTTTTGTGTTTATAAATGTCCTCTATGTCTATTCATATAGTTTTCTTTCCACTAATTAATATCATTTTTTGTAATATATATATATATATATATATATATATTAATTGTTAAAATAATTATAAAATTTTAATTGATCAATTTTAACTTACGATTTAATTAAGTAATTAAATTTTAGTAAAAGAGTACCTATCAATTAGTTTTTGGAAAAAAATTATAAAAAGACAACCACACTTTATATAAAAAAGCATCAACTAAGTAATTTATTCTTCTACTCATTTAATTCTCTTATCCTCTCTGTCTTTTTTCTTTCTCTATCCCTCTCATCAAATATGTACATTTATATATGTACTTGGATTGTGTAAGTAATTTCCTTTTTCATTATTAAAAATCAATAAAATAATTTTATCATTAGATATTAAATTTTATTAATTATGCACAATAGAATAGAATTTGTTCTTAGCATTTTCATTAACTATTAGAGATTATTAGTTTTTGGAGGATTTATAATTGGAGGGGGAGGTAATTGTGTGTGTGTGTGTATGTATATATATATATATATATATATGCACAAACACACACACACACACACACTAATTGTAAATTAAAATATATTAAATATATATAAAATGCATCAAATAAAGCAAAAACGGCATCTACAAAATCATTAAAAGTTTGAAAAAAAAAAAACAAATAAACAAACAAAGTTGTATGAATTTGATTTGCGCGTATTCTAAAAGTTGTTGCAATCTTATTGCCACTATATTTCATTAAGCTAAACATCTCTTCTTCTTCAATTTTTCATATTGATTGTTTCTACAATGTCTTTTTTGTTATGAATACAAAAAAAATATAAATAAACATAAATAAAAACTTTCTTCAAATCTTATTCTTATTGGTTTTTAAATCTAAAGAAGAGAAAAGTGGCCAAGATATTCTTTATATCATAAATTTAGTTATTAATTATTAACTATATTCTTTAAAAAATAATTTTGAATAATTTGATTTTTGAAACTCATTAGTTACAATCAAATATTTTGTTATCAACTGTAATATAATAAGTATATGCCAAATATGAAATTTTATCAAAACTAATCATCCCATTTACAAAATCACTGTTATAATATTTACTTCAATAAATTTAAATCTGAACATATTTGTAAGCCACGTTCTCATATTTTTTAAAATTTTGAAGTTATTAGTTTGATTTAGTAGCAATGCTAGAGACTTATAGTTGGAATTTTGATTCCTAAAAAATCACGTTGTAAATAAAGAACTACCATAATTAACCAACAATAAAAATTTAAAGATATTTTCGATTTTAACAAATTAAAAATAAGGATTGACATATATCAGAATATATAAAGATCTTTAAAAAATGACTAATCATTTAATATTGAATTCATAAGTTCTAAAAAAGTAAGGACTAAGTATTAAAAAACGACTTTTTAATAAAAATCAAGCCATTTTCAGTAAATAAATTTCAATTTCTAATTAAATATTTCTTGTAAAATTTTTCACCCCAATATACTGAAATCATATTTTACCGTAAATATAAAACATAATTGTAATATATTACCCTGATCTAAAACTTCTTGAATAAAACGAAATGTAATGTACTAAAAACGTAGTTGAACCCAAAATGGACCACTTCCAAGAATTGTATTAAATTTTGATTTTTAGTAATTTATAACAGATGTGTAGTTTCAAAAACACAATTAGATAATATAAATGTAGAAAGAAAAAATGAATGAAACACGTTTTAACAAAATTTGTGAATTGTAGATTGATTTAACTAAATTCATAAATATATACTATTTAAGTATCTAATCTGATAGAATAACTTATGGTAGACTTTAAACCCAATCATTTTGTTAATAATTTTTTTGCATTTATGTCAAGATTTAATGAAACGTTCACTCAATTACTATTAAAAATGACATAATAGAAAAATAAATATAACACTATTAAAAAGGAAAATAAGAAAGAAAAGGACAAAAAATAACATTAATTACAATAACTATTCAACATGTATTCTTCCAAATCTCGATTTTTTTTTTTTTTTTTTTTTTTTTTTTTTTTTTTTATCTTGATTATTTTAACATATACCATTACCCATTCTAAAATTCTTCATTGTAGTTATAAATTTTGGTTAGTTAAAAAGATATTTATATTATTCACATCTTAATCCCGATACAATTTCTACACATATAAAATAAGTGCAAAGTCAACTTAAATAAATATCTTCATTTTTTAACAAATACTTTAAACTATATAAAGAATAATGTGTTTTTAGTACAAACAATTAGTTTTATTGGACCTACATACTCAGCACTACAAATGTCTAAGTTTCAGTGTAATATCATCACATCTTACAATCTAATTATAATTGAATGTACCATCATTCAACATATAATTACATTTAAAAAGAATTGAATTTTAAATTATTAGTCTAAAGTCAAATTTTATGTCAATAAAATAATATGTTTATATCCTTATCATAATAATATTTGATGTTTATTAAATACAAGGTACTGCTATGTAAATATGGTTATGCTATTGACCCAAAAATTTAAAAATGTCAGCAATAAAGACATTCTAATATTAGCCACACATACATTATTCTATTTTTTAAAAAGATAAACAGAACTACGTTATTATTGTAAGATTCCATGCACAACGATAATTATATGTAGTATCTACTACATTTTGTTTTGACAATTTCATTGCACATGAACTCTTTATAAAATATTACTCAGTATAATATTAACAACAACAACAACAACAATCATAATAATAATAATAATAATAAGAATAAGAAGAAAAAAATTCACTTGTATTGTTAAAGGTATATACTTTTAACATACACCCCAACACACATACGCTCTTGAAACTCTTGTTATATATATATATATATATATATATATATGTGTGTATAATGAATGTGTATGAGTGTTACCAGGGAGGAACAGAAAAGGAAAAGACAAACAAACAAAGAAGACAATACATTCTTGCAAGAGGAAGATTTCAACATGAATATCCTAGATCAGACAGGAAAAAATATAAAAAAAAAAAAATCCTACAGACTAATCTATATCATGGCCCCATCTATTCACAGATCGCATAAAACGAACACAAATTCCATGTCATTGAAACAGTCGCTCAATAATGATTTTTCTAGGGACACATTCAACAAAGAAACCCAATCACAACTGCCACAAAATCTAATGCATGGGCATGGGGGATACAAGGGCAGATGCAGCAGGGGCCACGGCGGCCATACGAAGCCTGCCACACATTCATCAGCTGGGGCCATGGCCGACGAAGCGGGGGAGCTCGCCACGCGCTGCGACGCTGAGTGGTGGGGACTCGCAGCGGCCTTGGCCCTCCACGCGGCGGCGCTGCCACTCCCGTCGCAGCAGCAGCCTTACTTGCGATGCCTTCCGTCCTTCCTGCCACCCACCCACCCACCCACCCACCCAGCGTGCGAGCGAGGAAGGGAGCGAGTGAGGGATCACACCTCCAACTTCCACGAATTCTTCTGCTGGTTTCCTCCCCACCTGCATATCATTCCCTTCCTCACTCGCTGCTTGCGTACCTGCTTCCTGCGTTGCTTTCCTTCCGCCCCCATTTCCGTGCCACCCTACCACCAGAGGACGTCCCTACGTGCACTCGCGGGCTGCCTGGCTCTCTCTTTCCTCTCCTTTTCTCACCCACTTGGACTGGAAGTTACTACTCATAGTTGGCTACTAGTGTGTGAGATTCGGATCGTCGTGTTTGCTGTGGTAGGTTGGGTTGGTTGAGTGATAATCGGGGGCTTTCGTCGTGTGTTGGAGCACCTGAGATTTTATAGCTGTGTGTGTTGCCTGTCTGGTGTTGTGGGGGTTTGTGGTGGGGGCGTCAGTCGGCGTTGACGTTCGGATTGAGGTAGACGGGGGCTAGCAATGGACCAACTGGACATTCCGAGCATGCACGATCACGACTGGTACGAGCTCGTGAAGGACATTGGGTCGGGTAATTTCGGGGTCGCCAGGCTCATGCGCGACAAGAGGACGCGGGAGTTGGTTGCGGTGAAGTACATCGAGCGTGGGGAGAAGGTGCATGGGTTAGTTTTGTGTTTTTGTTTGGGGATGTTTCTGTTTATCACAGGTGTCGTGTGTCGTGTACACGGGGTGGGAAGCCTCGTGTGCGTGGTATGTAGGTAGGTGGTATTGAGGTCTAATCTGAGGGCTTGACTTGGACATGGTAAGTGGTGTGAGAATTTGAATTTTGCAAAGGGTGCTGATGTGGAATGGTGCGATTATTTTTGCAGATTGACGAAAATGTCCAGCGGGAGATCATCAACCATCGATCGTTGCGGCATCCCAACATAGTGCGATTTCAGGAGGTGATCATTCTAGACTTTTTGATTTTTTATTATTATTAATTTTTTTTTCCCTGAACTTGTAGACCCTGGGTGTGTGGATGAACTTTCTGGATTGACATTACTGGAAGATATTGGACATTTAGGAGTACTAAAGCTTGTACTTGAACTATTTCAGATCATGTTGACTCCAACCCACTTGGCCATTGTGATGGAATATGCTGCTGGTGGAGAGCTGTTTGAGCGAATTTGTAAAGCAGTCCGGTTCAGTGAAGATGAGGTATTGGAATCATCATTTTGTTGACTCTGCCTGAATTCTTGGTTCTCTTTGTGCAAGGTATAACACTTGCTTACCTTTTGTGTTGCAGGCCAGATACTTCTTCCAGCAGCTTATTTCTGGAGTCAGCTACTGTCACTCCATGGTAATTGTTCTGAACCCTGACGCGCGTGGTTTTCCTATCAGCATTGAAGTTTTCTGGATTTGTACAGTGCTTCCTTATGACCTGACTACAATTTTTCTGGTAACATTTTAGCAAATTTGTCACCGTGATTTGAAATTGGAGAACACATTGCTGGATGGAAGTCCTGCACCTAGACTGAAAATCTGTGATTTTGGATATTCAAAGGTAAGCTTCTCGTCTGTTTGTTTGTTTGTTTTTTGATTGTTCCGCTGAGATAGCTCAATGAAGTAGTCAACTTTCACAACTGATGAGAGCACATCACAGGTTGTACGAATTTTCTATCTTTGATGGTTTTCTGTTTATTGCAGTCGTCTTTGTTGCACTCGCAACCGAAGTCGACTGTGGGAACACCTGCCTACATTGCTCCAGAGGTCCTGCAAAAGAAAGAGTACGATGGCAAGGTACGTGGTTTGCACAAGGGTTTTTGACCGCAAGGATTGGGGTTTCGCTTCATGATGTCTTTCTACTGAATCAAGTGTGTTAGTGTTTACTAAAGTTCAAGGCACCTTATCGGGGAACTGAAGGAACCCACTTGCTTCGAGATGCAGATTGCGGATGTGTGGTCGTGCGGTGTGACCTTGTACGTCATGTTGGTGGGAGCATACCCATTCGAGGATCCCTATGACCCAAGGAATTTCAGGAAAACCATTGGAGTGAGTTCGCATAAGTTTTGATGGTAACATTTGGTGTTTCGTGGTTTAACCGATTCATTCATTCACAGCAACTCACGGATTGTTGAAACTGTGTTTGGCTTGGTTTGCAGCGTATCTTGAGCGTGCAGTACTCTGTCCCCGATTACGTTCACATTTCCCCGGAGTGCAAGCATTTGCTCTCTAGGATTTTCGTTTCTAACCCAGCCAAGGTACAACTAGACAGCAGTGATGCTAGTGGGTTGTGTATTTCGAGCCTTCCATTTAATTGTCAACTTCATTTTGGATCATCTTCTCCATTTTCTTGCTCTATTTGAATTTCGGAATTGAAGAGCACAAGAATCTCTCCACGGAGAAGAGGGCTGATTTATGTTTGTCTGTTCCCAGAGAATCAACATTCAAGAAATCAAGAATCACGAATGGTTTTTGAAAAATTTACCAACGGATCTGGTCGACCTTGCTGACAGGAGTTACGGTTTTGAGGACCCAAACCATCCCACACAAAGCATCGAAGAGATCATGCAAATTATTAGCGAGGCTAGGGAGCCAGAAGCAAGTACAGGAGGAAATTATTTTGGTGATGTAATGGATGACATGGACGTGGAGAATGACTTGGACCCTGATTACGACAGCAGTGGAGAGTTTGTGTGTGCAATGTAGAATGGTAGGTAGGATGAGGTAATAGGTTGTCATGCACAATTGTATCAGACAATAGGAGGTGAAACGGTAGTGTATGTAAAATTGGATGGTGTAGTTAAAATGGAATGGTTTCACTTCATTTCTGTAGATAGTTTTGCTGCACCAGCTCTTTGAGTTTCCAGGAAGTGAATCAGAGAACCAAGCGATGGCTACTGTGCGTATCGGGTCGACTTCAACAATGTTATTGGAGATGCATTACGCAATGCACAATCATCTGTTCGAAGGTGATTGACTTGCATGACGAAGATGTTTGGATGTTGTGGAGCTTGGGGATATTGGAGAAGTCGTGGCTCCATTGTAGTAATGGAGGATCTAGTGAACCTGAAGGGTGGAAGGGTGATGTTGTCAGATGCAGCTAAGGACTCTATGCTTGTATAGGATCTTTTGGATTTGGGCTACCTTGTGCACTTTGTATTCGACTTATAACCTTTGAGGTAGTAGTGTAGGTGGAACCTGGTGTTTTTTTTGTGAGCCCAATGTAGTAAAGATTATTGGCTCAGATGAACTGAGCTTACATTCTAGCTGTATATTTGTTGTATTGGGTGGGAGTCACAGGTTATGGGAGTTGGAACTGTTTTAAGGAACGCTGGAGGAGTTTGTGTTATGGAAAAATAATAGAGTTATTTGCAAGTGAAAGTTGTCCGTGACATGGTCCATGAATGGGGTCTGTTGGGAAGTTGAAATAGGTGGGCCCTGGCCGGACCGGTAAGGTTCATTCTCCAAGGAAATGGAGATGAAAAGTCAGAACAGCAGTTGCCTGCATCGTCATGCGGCACAAGATGCAGCTATCCAGGACCAAGTAGATCAAGTTTGTTCACCTCAGTTTGGAGGAAGAATGAGGTGCCAATCTCGTTGAGTTGGGACTCATTCGTGTTGTAGAGCTACGTGATCGAGTCAGATTTTGCGCTGTTCAAGCCTTTTGATGTTTTGATGGAGGGCTTGAAATCTTCTGTAATTTCTACTGGCTCTCGGATGTCAAGTTCAAATTTTAGACCACAGAGAGTGCAGAGTTTCGGTGCTGCTGCAAGTGGTGTCGTGAAGGGCTCGCTGCAGCAGTGGTTATTGCTCTGTCCACATTAGGCCAATGATTTCTTACTAAATTCATTATTAAATATCTGCTTTACAATAGACAATGCTTCCTCCCAAGGTTGCAGAATTCGGTAACTATTAGCTGGAAGTTATCAATTGGTATTCAATCGCTGCAACCCAGTGGTTGTCTCATTCCATGAATATTTATACTTGGTCTCAAATCCAAAATAATTCCTGTATTTCCCTTCATAATTGTTTTGCATGATCAAGATGAACTTTCCAAAAGTTAAGGGACTTAAATCCAGTAGCCCTATGGTTTGTGAAACATCGCACTTCAATGTGGCATATTTTTAGAAATATCTATATATATATATATATATATATATATATTAATGCAATACCTTGATGCTCTATGTCAAACAGATTATATTTTTAGTTCTCATTTACATGCATTATCACAAAAATGAATAAAAAAATTAAAAAAGTAATGAATAGGATTTCTTTTTCTATTCCTTTTTCTTTTCTTCTTATCATATGTTCATTTTAACAGAATTTTACATGTCAAATGTATTGAAAGGCAACAAGGAAATATTTAAATTTATAATTAAGTAAAAATCCATGTATGAAGATGTCTTGGAAAATTTAGAGTCAGAAACAAAATAAAATGTGCCAAGTTCCAATTAATACCTATAATTTAAAGTTGGGATATATCTTTCAGAGAACTTTTATTAATGGTTGTAAGTTTGCATCTTAGATTTAAAATAAATGATTCTCTTAACTTGAAATAAAAAAATAAAAGGTTTAAAAGAAAAAAACAAAAATCTTTTTTTTAGGTACATATTACATAATTATAATTTTTTTCTAAAAAAATGAATAAAAATAAATGCTACATTTTTTTTAAATGGATGTATATATATATATATATATATATATATATATACACATATATATTCTTTAGTAAATTAAGACATATCTATTTATATATTATCATCCATTTAAATAACTATATATCCATCCATGTATCTAAATATAAATTGTTTTTAAATATATAATTTAAGAAATAGAACTAACTAAATGATGCTTGTAATATTGGTTGTACTACAATGCTTTATTAGAAGAACCATAGAGATAATAATAGAGAAGATGGCTTCTAAAAGTCCAACATTTGCATTACTTGGCATTGAAAAAATGAAAAGATTAATTCCATTTTTTATTATAAGCAACATGAATTCAAAATTGGAAGTGCTATTGAAGAATTTTATATTCACTTTTCACTATCATATGGAAAAAAATATGCATAAATTAATAAATATATATATATATATATATTAATAAATAAATAAAAATCATAAATTTATCTCTCTCACCATCCAATGTATCTAAAAATGATGTATTCTTCATGTAATAGAATTCTTATGATCATTAAATCAAATACTAATCCCTACATTGTATTATTAATTTTCTAACAATCTACTATCAATTTTGTAATCTCTTCATTATTTCTACCTTAATCTTTTGTTATCTAGCAACTATTCTAATACCTTTGCTATCTTCCAAACCAATATGTAAGAGTTGGAATTTGACCTCCAATCTAGTACTCTAATAGAAGTTACTTGCAAATTATAATCTTTATTTCCTTCAAGCTCTAATTGTATGTAACATCATTTGCCAATTTCTAAGCTTATGGTCTATAATATTAAAATGAAATTTTGACAATTGGCTTTTTATTTAGTGATTGCATCATTACATTTACATAAAAATCTAATTTATTATATCAATTACTATATGTTTTATTCACATCTTTTATATTAGCTCAAATTTCTAGCAATTTATAGTACAACTTTTGGTAAATAGATTAAAATATTATCAAGTGCAATGACAAAAAAATAAAATTTCTCAAAAAAATTGAAATATATTATAAATGTTGTATTTCATAATTTTTACTATTTTTAATTTAGCAAAGGAGAATAAAAAATAATCCTATTGTAATCTGCAATGGGGCTTCTAATCTAAATGCAACAACCATACTTACAATAGAAAACACAACTATGCAAAGATATTTGTCAAAATCTTGATAGGCCTTATATTGCTTCTATCTTATTAAAGATATAGATAAAGTTGACAATTGTGTTCTAAAATACAATAGAAATATCCACCAAATGATAGTCACATCCATCTTTGTTCTTGCACTATTGTAGGGACTCTTCTTACATCTATCTCCACAACTTTTTATTCATAGTAAACCTGGGCTTCCACAACTGGTTAATATTAATAGAATTTTTTTGTATTATTTACTAAAATCAAGAATTTTTTTATGATTATGTTCATCTATCAAAGAATCAGGAAAGAGTTATGTAGATATAATTTTTTCAAATTAAAATTAAACTTAATGTTATTTTATGCTTAAATTTTTTTAATTCTATTAAATTTTTAGAATTAGATATTAATAATCTAAATATTTTACACAAATTTATATGTATTTTAGGATTACTTTACACCAAAAATTCCACTTCAAAAGGCCATAGCTCACAAGTCTTAGTAAGGTCCTTCACTTGATAAAGAAAAACCCTCTTTTGAAAACCTTCTCCTTTGAATATAATATAATGTGATAATAGGCCACGAAATGAATCAATTTTTTTAATATTATAAACTTATATATATTAGCTTATATCTTAATTCAAAAAATTATAAGAACAAAAATAAAAATAAAAATAAAAATAATTTTTTTAATAGTTATTATATATATTATTTGACATAACTTCTCATTTTTTTCTAAAAAAGTGCGCTCCATCTCAATTTTTCTTCTTAAGGCCTTTGAATTTATTTTTCTAAATATACAACCAACTTAAGGAGGCTATTTTATTTTAACCAAGCAAAATATTTAAAAGTTAAAACCTCTCACATTGTCTCCTAAGTATAAAGTGCCCCTTACATCAACAAGTATTGTAATTATTTATTTGTTCGAATATGTTTATGTATATATATATATATATATCATGAAAAAAATCTATTAATTTGGATTTAAGATTTGGATGTATTTTGATCGAAAGATTACTTTGCAATTATTGAACCAAAATCTAATGCCTTTTATCGGATTTTTTAAAAATAAAGTAAGTAAATCAAATAATTAAAAATCAATTATCATCTTAAAAGAAAAACAGCGCACCACCACTTTCTACTGTAATTTATTTTTAATTTATTTTTATGTTACTGTTTGTGACTTCAAATTTGTATAATTTAATAACAGCTTGTTTCTTTTAAAAAAAAAAATCAAAGCACAAGACAGTGGACCCAAGAAAATAGAAACATATCATGTCTTTGAGTTAGTTTGCACTAAATTCTTTGTTTATTTGAAAGAAATTAAATGTTGCTTCTAAATTGGAAGTTGACACCCATTTAAACCATAAGAATTTACAGTTTTATAACTTATTCTTATTTTCAATGAACAAAATCATAATTAATCTTAAGAATTATAGAAACAGAAGAGTCAAAATTTCATTAATATAGTTAATATTGAGTATTCTCAAGTTCATCATGTGTTTTTGTCAAACCTCATTCCTAAATTTTATCAGAATTTTAAAAGAACAATAAATTTAATTTGCAATACTTCTATTCTTCAGAATATAAATATAGTTGTCTATTTTAATTTCTTTGAATTCTTCTTGGTCATAGTAAAGGGTCGTGGCAAAATGTATATAGATTTATCAAAAATTCAGGCTACTAGTTCTGATGAATTTTTCAATTTTTAAAATGAAATACAAGATAATAAAAATCAATGCCAATTTTTTCATGAGGTTGGAACCAATTACTCTTTTTTTTTTTTCTTTTTTTTTTCTTTTTTTTTTCCAGAAACCAAATAATTTGAGTTATGTGAAACCTTTTTTTTTATTTTTATTTTTATTTTATGTACATGTCACAAAAAGAAGAAAAGGAAAAGAAAAAGAGAGTGTTTAATTTGTTCTATCTTTCAACACCCTAATACCCTTCAATTCACAACGTTTTGGCCTTATCTATGTCTATCTCTCTTTATATACATATATATATATATATACATATACAATTAGACCCATGCTTTTACTAAATAGACCCACCTTTGATGAAGAATATAATAACCATGATGAATGTGGTTGGTTTTTGTTGGTTGCATATCCAACAGTTGGGCAATGAATCTAGATATCATTATATTTTTTCACAATGGTTAAGATGGGTGGATCAATTTAGTACAAACTTGGGTCTATTTAACATTCCCCTATCTATCTATCTATCTATCTATATATATATATATATATATATATCCTTCTATATGAAAGAAAAGAAAATAGAGAGCTTACACAAAAGTCATGGCACATGGGAAAAGTCGAAGCACAAGTGGTTTGGGAAGGAGGTAGAGAATGGGAAAACCCGCTTTTCACATTCAGCCTGATATCTTCGTGGAGGCGACGGGAAAGGGTCCCACTACCCGTGCAACCCGTGCCACCCGTGCCGCAGTGCACCCCTTCGCAATCGCATCAGGGATCCAGGCTCCCGCATCGTCACTCGCACTGTCAGGCAATCCCCCTTTTTCAACATTGTTTTGTTTCCACCGTTGCCGGATCATTGGAATCCTTCATAGGGGCGCATTATTCACCACGGACTAGTATTTAGCTTAACAATCATCGCTGGGAACTCGCTTCTCTGGTTTACCTTAGGTAGTGGGTTCGTTTTCGTGGACGATGACGACGATTTGAGTGTGCTGTGAGCTCCTTTTGTGAAGATTGTGTGGCAGTTTTGGGGCATTGGAGGTACTGGATGTGTTTGATTTTGAGCTGTGAGAAAGGCGGGATGACGCTGGGTTTGTGATCGTGGGAGCGGGAGAATGGTGGTATGGGGAAGAGCGAGAGTAGGGTGTTGAAGGTGGCGCAGGGGGATACGCTGTGGGGGCTCGGGGAGCGTCACGGAGTGCCCTGGGAGCATATTCAGGTGTTTAACAAGCTGCGCGACCACACGGTTTACGCTGGGGAGGAACTGAAGTTGCCCCCTCAGCGGACCAAGGCATGGGTGGTGGAGTCGGGTGACAGTGCCTGGGAGATTGCGGAGCGGTTCGGGCTAACCTTGGAGGAGGTTCAGGATGTGAACGGTGGGATTCCGGAAGTTTTGTACCCGGGGGATGTGTTGTTAGTGCCCGAGGACGCCGTGCTGCGACCACGCCAGCTGATAAGTTTGAGAGCCGTTAAAGCGCGATTGAAAGGGATTGCTGTTCATGCTAATGCCAAATTTTTCGATGTCTTCCCGTACCCTCAAGGTAATGAACAACGCCCTCCGGTCCGGGAAGGCATTCCTATTTTATGCTAATTTGGTAGAAATCTTTCGAGTCGAGTTTTCAGTCCTGCTACAGGCCAGGATTTTCATATTAGAATTATTGTGGTTTATGTATAGCTTTAGTATTGAATTTTTTGAGTAATAATCCGCTTTTTTTTATTGCTTATTTTATGTCTAAACCAAATAATTAATTTTGTTCGAAGAAAAGTTATAGCTATGTTATCAGCCAGGTACTCCAGGGTCCATCTGTTCACGTTGATAGTTCTATCGCTTTCATTTACAGCAACTCATCACAATTTTTTTGATCTGTCTATGTTAAGTCTTATTTTCAAGTAGACTTAGTTTGAATTGGAAGATTTGCAGGAGCCAGTTCGTGACTAGAGACGAGTTTTTAAGTAGCGTGAAATTACATTTATGGATGTTCAAGCAGCAGTATCAATATGACACTACCATGATTTCATTTCCATTGTAGATATTGACAATTACAGGGAGAAACACCGGCTGCTATTGAATGCGCTACGGCATGTGGAGAGCAGCTTCATCATGCCTGCACCAATTGGAGACAATGGCCTTAGCATTGGGCCCCTTCAAATTAGGTTTCTCTTGAACTTTTGAAGTGATTTAATGTTTTTATAACCTATAGTTTGTAGTTCGTTCTTTAAAGTGACATTGTGCAGACACCTAAGTTGGAATGGCATTCTTATTGAATTAAGCTCGCGTGGGGACTCAGTCTAGACTGTACTAATATGTGATTGATCATTTTTCACGCCTAAGGCATATCTGTATTGAACGGTTGCAGCACTGAGTATCACCAAGATGCATGGTGGCAAGCGAGCAGTACTGTGAAATACGAGCATTGCGAGGAAGTTGATTATGCCGAGCGCACAGTTATCAATTATTGGCTGCGTTATTGCCCTTGGGCACTTGAGTTTGGAGACTGGGAGACTCTGGCACGTACTCACAATGGAGGCCCATGCTATTGGCACCATTTCTCCACCACCCGTTATTGGTGAGCATGTGACCCTATGTGCTTTATCTGTCAATCTTCTGCTCTCTGTAGTGACTAATGAGATAATGTGCTTGGGACTTGTGCTACGATTCGGCGTTCCATTTTCGCTTCTTGTCTGAAGGGATAGATTTGGATCGCAGGAGAAGAGTTAAGAATGCATTGCGAAGTAGAGGATACATACAAGGAATCCCAGAGTTTTCGTCTTCGGCTCGTGATAACAGCTCGATACAGCTATTTAACACTCACATTCCATTTGTTGTTCCAATTCTTGAGAGCAAAGTGAAGGATAATCCCGACAAGGGCGCTTCGCAATTACAGACCACATCAGCTGTTATGGAAGCAGCGACCGTTGGAGTCCCCTACTAAATGAGATTTCTTGATGGAGCTTGGATATAGATGAAGCAGATAATCCCACGATTATTTTTTTGTATAGATTGAGATCCTAAAGAGGGGAGATCTCTTTAAAATGTGCACGATATTTCTATCTTTAAAATGTGCACGATATTTCTATCTTCAACTGTGCACACACACACACTACAGAATAACGTGTTCACCATCATTTGTGCTACATCTGGTGATGGTACCGCTTCTATATTTATTATTAGAGGTACTGGATTGTTCCACAATCCTTGAGAATTTATAAATAAGCTGCTACGCTAACATGTAGAAGGAAAAGATTTGCCGATGGAAAATTTCATGGGTGCGATCTGTATTTTCGCATTGTTGCACTTGCGCGGCTCTAAAAATGAACAAACCATACATGTTATTGAAATGACTTAAGATCTGTTGCTCGACTACAAAATAGGATTTCAGCGTCGGGATCTTACGTATTCAATTGATTTTAAATGGAGACAAAAGATAATTCCATCTCAAAAATCTAAAGTCACACCCAGTCTTTTTCTGCACATTCAAACAGGAATCGATTCTCTGTCTGGATGCAATTTTTTTAAATAAACGTAGAATTCTCCGTGCTAGATAAACTCCAGCCGCAAGCCGAAAGCTGTCAGCCGCCAATTTCTGAAAGAGTATTAGATTGATGCGGAGTACTAGAGAAATGGACAACGGACCTTAACGAGACCAGCTACCAAACCGATGAGCATCGTCTCTAAGGTACCTGGTAAAGTGAACATGCTACGATTGAGAATTTTCACTTGAGCAGTCCATTGTATCACAGATTTACGACCATGCCAATTTAGTCTGTGGTACTACCAAAGCTCTACCTGCATCATGGCATAAGTGATTTGTTCAAGTCCCAGAATACGGAGATAAAAGGGATGTGCTACCTTCGCACACGCACATATGAATACCCCACCTGAGTGAATTGGACTTTCTGATGAACCTAGTCCAATGCAGTCCTAGCTTAGGCGATTTCAAAGTTAAAGCTATATTAGCAGCTTAGTTAAAAAAATTACCAGTTCTCCCGTGGTCCTGTAATCTGTGAACTTGTGAAAGAGTTGAGAATTCCCATTTTGTGAAAATAAGAGTTACCGCAAGTCTTCATTACAGGTGTGAGGTTTTCTACCTCAACACCAACAACTCGGTAACATCTCTTAATGTCTCATGTACCGCGCAGCCTGAAAGGATGATAGGATATTAGCGACTAATTACTGTCCAACACATGCTTGATGTTCTCTTCTAAATACTCCAAATAATTGTTTTGTGGAACAACAGAATGAAACAAAACACGACTTGCCAACGCAAAACAAAATTCAACTAATAGCCGTTGTCCAATTCCAGAATATGACATGTCCACCACATACCCAACACGCGAAGCAGAGACATGACCTCATACCCCACCACTGTAGAAGGTTGAAAAAGACTAAAATAAGAGGTGGACAATATGTCTGCAACGAGCAGATTACAAAATATACAAGTCTTTTATTGGAAGTTTAAAAACAAAACCCTAAAAGAAATTTGTTTCAAGAGCACGTGCTATACGCACATGAAGGGTCTGAGAGACGGACCTGGTGATTCAATGTCGTAAAATCAGCAAATTTCAGGGGACGCCCTCCTGACTGAATAGTGTGATAGACACAATTCTTTCCAAAAGATTATAACCAAATCCATGAAGGGTGAAAAAAGAGATTCATTGTAAGCGTCATATCATGTCTACTAAGTGGCAAACGTCCAGCGACATATGAAACCGGTATCCATATTCTTCTGCGCCTCCACTGTCAAATGATACCCTCAGAACACCTCTATACTGGACTTGAGATCTGGTTGCTTTCACCACCAAGGGCCTGTGAATATATCAGCCTGTTGTCATCGAGTTTCAGAGGTAAGTCAATTATGTAGCAAGATCACTTTCCGAAATTGGTGATAAAAGCACTTTTTTGGCCCACCAGTCTTCTCCCAACGCATCATCGATATTTTCCAGGTCTATACTAGTGCCTGTCTCTTCTTTAAATATATCTTCATTGCAAACGTTAACGTCAGAAGCATCCTTGCATTCTGCCACGCTAGGTACATCCAGGCTTTCTTGGCATTCTCCGGGAGTCTCGAACAATCCCTCCCCTTTGCATGTGTGTTGAAGAGTAGATATCATCTCCGATAGTCTATCCTGGACAGGTTGGCAATCTCCGGTTAACAGATTATCATTCTGCTGTGCTCCATTCTCCTGCGGAAGACATTTGTCTACAGCAGTACAAAGTCGCTCACCCGGTGAAGTTGCAGCGTCACCATGGCTTAAACTAGTCACTTTCTTCTTGGATTCTTTAACCTGACGTTGCCGTTTCTCCCTCTCCTCCTCGAATGTTCCATCATCTTTCTCTTTCTTAGACTCTCTTTTACGCTTCGGAAATGTTTGCCCTGTTTGTCCAGACCCATCACGACCCTCCAACGCCTCCTGCAAAGCTATGAGTTTATCCTCCATGTTTCTACGATTCTTTTCCTCCTTCTGAAACATCTTAATGATGGACTTTAATAACTTAGTAGCCGCGTTGGGACAAGGCTTATCATATAACTGGAGCATTCCTTCAGGAGAAATGTCATCAGCCTGGACAATTAAATTGTTACAATTCCCATTACGTGCCATAGACCCAGATGCAGTTGTAGCTTGACTTTCAGTGACACCAGTGCTATTTTTACTTCGTAGGGCAGCATTCAGGGGACAACCATCCATCGCCTGATTGGAACCCGCAACATTGAGGTCCTCTTGAGCTTTCCTTACTACAGGGCGCTTGTTGGTAAGCCCTTTCGACGCATCCAAGACCTTATGAGGCCGTGCTTCAACTTGCTTCTGCAAAGAACTGGTCCTAGCACCTGATGGAGTAATATATAAAGAAGGCACAGGTTTTTTAGCAGAGTCCAATGGAGCAGGAATACGCGCAGCAGGACTCAAAATAGAATCAACCCCCATAATAATTGCAACTGGGCCTTTCTTGCAGGACGTAGACACAAGCTGCTTGGGAGGAACATTTGACGTGCATTCTTCCCTACTTGCTGATTCCGGAGGACCTATTCTGGGGCTTTTAACCCCAGCACGAACCTGTGGTATAGACGTCTGTGACTTCAAACCTCCATCAGGAATTTGGCTCCTACTCAGAATCATTCCCCCCCGGGGAGGAAAGGTAGCACTAGAAGACACCAGATTGTTTCGAGACTTCTCTGTGGAGGCAACTAGCACGCTAAGCATATCTGCTTCGCCAGAACCAACTATGCTTTGCGAGCTCTTCTGTGTCTCAGTTTGACATTTTTTAGGTACAATCCCTTGAGGAGCTGAGTTACTAGGAGAAACAGCGTCAGTAGTAACTTTGTCCTTGAGAACAGCCAAAGAGGCATTTGTTTCCCCAGAGTCTGGGCTATTCATGGGAGTACCTGGACCTCTAAGTTGCGATTCTTGTAGCAATGAAGCCTCAAGCGCATGCAGGTTAGAGGCCTGCTTCTGCAACGTAGCGACCTGTGAAGATACCAATTGTACCTCCTTCTGCACAGCTTTGGCCAAAGACTGGGCTGCCAGAGCCGCAGCCTGTGCTCTGGACGTAGTGGCTTGCCCACTCTGAGCAATAGCCAAAGATTTCGAAGAGGATTGAACGGCTCCATTGATCTTGGCGTGAATGCTCCGCTCCAAAGAATGATACAAACTCTTTGTCGCTTCAACAGCTTGCAAAGCAGAGCTAATGGCACCTACAGTCTCCTTCACCTCCAAACGAATCCTATCAAATTCACTCCGGTCTGCCTTGTAGCTACTTTCCAAAAAATCTAGCCTTTGCAAAACACCAATAAACTGCTCCTTGATTGTCAAATTCTCCTCCTCAACTTTCTCTCGCAACAATTTCTCATTTTCTGCCTTCTTCCTTTCGGTATCGAAATTCAACCGCTCCCTCTCCACCTGCTGACGAAGGACCTCATTAACCTCTAAAGCCTGAGAAGTGGCATCCAATTTTTCCTTGAGCAATGCAATCGCAAGCCGCAATTTCTTCCTACCAGCCTCACTCCTCTCGAGCTTCTCCGCCAACTGCCGTTCGTTCAACCCATTCCCAACATCCGATTTGTCCAAAACTACATTTCCTCCAAGCTGCCCCCCATGGTTGTTAGTTACTTCTACGTTGTCAACCATCGACGGCATATCTCCCTCCATTACCACAACCATATATACATCCCGTATCACCTCCAAAACCCTAAAGAGGATCCACTGCACGATCACTAGTCCCTGCACCTAAAATCATCATTCCCTACTTGATGCACCCCTAACTTCAAAAACAACAGGAGGAAGAGAGGAAAAAGAACAGGGACCAGAAAAAAAACAACTAATTCATTCATTCATTTCAAAATAATAAAGAAATAAATACTCTTCTGCAATCTGCAACAGTCTGCGCAATCTACATTCTAGCGAAATCTTTCAAGTTAAGGTCGAAAAATGAAAACAAGCAAACAAACAAATGAGAAGAATTACGCCGTGTGACGCACGCGGCTCGAACCGTTTTTTCAGACCATTCACTCTGCATGCTCCCTTGCAAGCTCAATTTCAATCTAATCTTCCCACAAACCCTGCCCGGGGCAATTTAAACAGGATTCCAGTGACCTAATGGGCGATCCACAAACGATTCAAACGTCTCCCGGGGCGGAGACGTTGAATCGATGCATCGACACTCACTCCAACACACTTTAGGGTTTGGAGGGTTTAGGGGTTTTAGTTTCTCGTTCCGAGCGCCAGTCGGAGCTTCATTCATCCAACAGCCGAGTTTCGAGCCACCTCATTAGAAGCTGATTCAATGACTGCCGTGTGGACAATCATTCACTCCATTTACCAACACAGCTTTCTATAAATGGCACTCTTCGGTGTTGGAAATTGCTCTTAAATGCTCTTTTGTAGTGAATACCAGAAGAATTCAAAACATTGAGGAATTTGGAATTATTCTATTTCTTATACTCATCGTTGATTTTTTAAGATAAGAATAAGTTTGTGGTTGACATGACCTACAAATAAATAAATAAATAAATAAATGAATTGTAGCAATAATTATAAACAAGATTTTTTCTTAAATAATATTGATATAAAAATATATATGCTCAAAAATAGGAAGTGATTGAGAAGGAAGCAAGTGATAAAAAAAACAATTTAAACACTTCCATGTTTAGTGAAGTTTTTGTAGTAGATGTTTGCTATCTGGTATAAAAAGAAATTACATTACTTTAATTCATGCTTTGTGTATTGACAATCAATCGACTATGATTATATGAGAATACCTAAAGAAAATTTGAAAAATTTGAGATTGATATAATCACATTTTAAATTTATCTGTTATTGTTTAAAGAAGTGATGAAATATTAAAAATGAATAACAAAAAACCGTCCTGGCCTTTCTTTTCTTTTGTTTTTCTGTTCTGTTTTTTTAATATCTTAGTATTCTACATTTTTATTTTTATTGAATTCTATTTTACTTGACAAATGGACTATGTATATGAAATAAATCATTTTCACTTCTTTTGTCTACAATATTATTAAAAATATTATTGAAAGGGAGAATATTTTATATCAGAAGGAATCCATTATTTAGTCCATATACATAATTGCATAATTGACGTGATTTTAAATATTATTTTATAATATAAAATTAAAATATTTTTAAAATAATTTACATACACTTTGTTGTATAAATAAAGATGGTTATATACAACAAATCAAGTGTCAAAAATCATCATCAAATATACAATCAAAACCAAATAAGAATGCAAAATAAACACATTCTTAGGAAAAGATGAAAAATCTAAAGACAACCTAGTTAAGCTATCATTTATGCCATAAATAGAAAATTTAAGAGTATAATTATATAAAAAAAATTATAAATTTTATTCAATATTTAAATCACAATAGTCAAGAAAAATCTTATAATTATGTGCTTTCTTTCTTAAAATACTCACAAGACTTAATTTAATAAGAATGCCAAGTCAAGGAGGCTTTTCTACCTAATCTTCAAATTCTAGTTGACACTATTAAGGTCAAGTAACATAAAACACTAAGTAGATAACATCCAAGTAATATGATTTGAAATCCAATGCTACATCACATGACATTTTTTGTATAAATAAAAATCATCATATATAATAGATTAATTACTAAAAATCATTGTCGAATATGCAATTAAAACCAAATAAGAATATATAACAAATACACTTTGAAGTGCCCCTTCTAGTTTCTTAGGAGCTCTATGAATCATCTAAGATAACAACTTGCACATAATCAAAGATGAATGTCATAATAATATCAATAAAAAATCATATATAACTAAGTTAATACCATAACAACTAGACCACCAAAACATGTAACAAATATAGAAGTATGAATATTCAATCCATCTCAATTAATGAGACATGGATGAAAGTCTTCCTACCATAAAAACAAATTTAATTTCATCGAAGAAGAATAAAAAGAGATGGTATCAAATATGCCATATGCCACTTGTATTAGTACTAGTCCTATAATAGCATGGTAGTAGCTCTTTTCTTCTTACTACATACAAAAAAATTGATGTCATTTGACACATATATCAATTCAAGATGTATAGAATCATCAATAGGAAAATGACAAAGAACATAATTCTTTAAATGATCTAAACACTTCTATCTATCTTTGCCTTCAAGTAACAAAATATCAATAGGTCTCACATCCTTGATATAAAGAATTGTGCATCTTGCATTGTCATCAAATATTGTAGATACATCACATTACAAATACACATAATATTCTTTGGATAATCTTTGCAACTAACATCAATAAGTTCACATATAGATGCAAGCATATTATAAAGTATCACAATATTGAGCAATAGATAAATTTTCTATAGATACAGATATAGCCTCCTTAAATATTCATTACAAAGATATTGAATCTAAATGTTAGGATTATATAACTCGACAACTAGAGCCAATTTTTTATATATTAAGTTTGATAGAGTTGGCTTCTTTCCATACAATAATTGACAAGGACTATAAGATGCCAAAAATACCTATCTACTAAAGTGATAAACTATTATGATCCATGATAATATGAAGTTCAAATCATGATGATCTATATAAAGCAATCCATATTTTTGTAAACCAAGCTTGATATTCTAAATAATCTTTTTAATCAAGTCTTTTTCTTAAGATAATTTATAGAGGTGGTGCAATTATCTATGAAAGCTTTAATATATAAAGCATCAAAAGCTCAAAAAAACCTTCTTCTTTGATTTTTCAAGACTTTAATAAGTACTCTAAAATATACCTATATACGATCAAGAAAAGCTATAGCTTACAATTGTAAAAGGTTTTGTGGCAAAGCCACAAGTTTAGTTCACTTGTTAAAATATTCTACTACCACCAATATGTATTTAGCTATAAGTGGGGTTGGAACAAGCAGCTTAATAGAGTCAAAAGACTAATGATAGCTCAAATTGATGATAAATAAAAGCTTCAAGTATGGTGATAAAGTGTTAAAATATGACTTGAGTCAATTATACACTTTGCACCAAGAAACATATGTGGTGACTTATTGATATATATTAATCTACCAATATTGATTGCACAATATATAATGTATCTTTTACATCTTAAAATATTTAAGTTCTTTATATATTTGCCATACCAAATAAGCTCTCTAATTTGGCCTTCGAACTATATACAAAGCTCCATTAGACCATATACAAAATAACAAATTCTTCTTTTAATAATACCTTGCTATCAAATAATTAATTCTATCTTGTTCTATTAAAAAATTAAACTAAAAAAGTATCAAGGACATGAATCTCGAAGAAAGAAAATCTTCAATACACTCTTGTATCACTAAAGAGAATTATAAAGTCACTCAAAAGATGATGTAATATTAAACTAGAATGGCTATTGCTAAAAACAAGAAGACTAGAAAGTCTTGAAACAAGACTAAAGACTAAAAATGCTTTGACAAGAGTAAAGAAGACTTCACTCTTGCCTCCATATATACTCTCTAACTAAAAGCTATGTGGTGATATTCTATAGGACCTTCAACATATATTGACTTTGCTAGTCACATGTTTTAAGTTATAAGGCAAATTATCTATGTATGCACTACATAATTAGTTTATTCCACAAGCTATTATATGGAATTAACTTATTCTATAAGCTACTAACATGTGGTTAACTTATTAGCTAAGTTTCCAACCTACAAATACATCTAAAGTCAAAACCGCGTCTATGAAGCTTTTAGGAAGCTTCTCCAAAAGACTTTATGAAATTATTTTATATTTACCTACTTCTATCTAATCATATAAGTAACTATTGAGATAAATGTATATGTCAATGACATTACTCCTCCTTCTAGAAACAAGTTCTACAAGAAGCGGACATCATCTTTCATGGATCTTTGCAATTCTTCATCTTAATTTTGATGGATATTATTAATGAAAGGCTTCAATTTTCTTTGCTGTATTTGTAAGATTCTTTGATGGCTCCCATGTGCATTAACTAATATTGTATTCATACCAATGAATAAAATATTCCAACCTATTTTGATGCTACCTTGAGTCAAAGACTTCTTCTATCTAAAATTCTTGATTAATATCTAGTTCTATAAGAGGAGGTGACATTTGTCTTCTTTCTAAGATATTCACTATCTTATATGGCTCAAGAAGACACACATAAAATGTAAGGTGGATCTTCATAAACTCTAGTAGATATAATAGATAAGCAACACAATTGATTTATTCATAAATAGAAAAAGGTTCTAGCCTACAATAGTCCAACTTATCACAAGGATGAGTAGTCTTAATATTGCAATGAAGTAATCATATCTTAATATTTATGTTGAATTATGGTTGCTTGTTGTGATAGGCATCTTAGTTGGATTTTTTTTTTTTCTTCAGCTTTATTTAATTGTGTCTTCATTGTTGCATATAGCTTTGACAAATGATTTGCTAAATCTTCCACAATGGGATTATCAACTTTTCAAATGTTAAAGGTATTAAGTCATGGATGATAATCATAATTGGCAAAAAAGATGTTTATTGAGTAGAATAATATACTCAATTATTGTATACAAACTTTGCTAATGGTAAAAGAATTGTCCAATCATCTTCATGATAGTTGAAGGTACACCTTAAATATTGCTATAGAACTTAAATCACCTATTTTGTTTATCCATCAATTTGAAGATGAAAAGCCAAAGAGAGCTTTATATCCACCTTTTAAATCTTGAATAGGATTTTTAAAAATCTTCATAAAAATTGAGTCCTTTTATCCAATATAATATCCTTTCGTAATCTATAATAGCAATAGATATTGTCAATGATGAGCTTCGCTATTTTTTTACCTAAAATATATTTTATACATAGTATAAAATATGCCATTTTGGTGAACCAATCTACGATTACAAATATAGAGTCATATAAACTTGAACTTGAAAGATCTTAATAAAATCCATAGAAATAGAAGACTATGGTTATTCAAGTATAGGTGTCAAGGATAAGAACTCGATGAAAAAACAATTCAGACAAGTGAGCCTTCACTCAAAGAGAGGTAACAAAATATATATAAACAAGTATATATATTGAAAGAGAAACTGGAATGGCTATTGCCAAAAGACAAGAAAACTAGAGACCCTTGAAACTAGACTAGAAGCAAGAAAGGAATTGACAAGAGTGAAGAAGCCTTC